GAGTGGTTTGGGCTCTTACAGGCCGCTGCCGCCGTGGTGCATGGTGGGACGCAGCACCCTTCCTGGAATCACGGCACGTGATCGGGCGTACGATGAGCGCGCATCACGTGGCGGAGATCCGAGGCCATGTCATACGTACCGAATCGTGTCGCTCGCGTACCTCTCATTCGCAAGGCTGCTCGCATCTTTGGCCCTCCATCCTGCCCGGCATCCCAGAGTGCTCATCGTCGCTCGCTGAAGTCTCCGAATCGTCACAGAGACAATCGCCTTGAACGATCGCCGAAGCGCGCTGCAGCATCAGTCACTTTGCCCCGCACGAGGGTACGCCTGCCTCTGTCTTGGCACTCGCGCTGCGCTCATCTTTGCACACCGGTGGTCTCCTCTCTTCCACTCTTGCTAGGCAAAAAGCTTCGCCAGAGACGTGCAGAATCCCACAGACAGTAAGAGGTCTTGCATACAAGTCATGTCGGCGATTCAAAAAGGCAGGCCAAGCGGCTCCAGCAGCGACTCTCGAATGCTCAACATCCTTGGAACTTCCCAAGCCACACGCCAGGAAGGGTCAGATGACGGATCAGAGGAAGGCGCAATTACGCCTCCTTCTCACGGCCGCCCAAACTCCTTAAATATCAGAGGGAGCGCCAATGGGGCTTCTCGGCAAGCATCTGACCTGCAGCAGTCGCAGCAGCGATCACAGATGGGTGCGGCAAGGCTGTCGGAGGAAGATGAGCATTCCGCGCCTGCACCGGAGCATCGCTCGAGCAGACCTCATCTGCCACGAACACCAATGAGACCAGCGGGGAGTCACGAGCAGCAACAAGGACCAGAAAAGGTTGATGGATCCAGATCAGCGGGTGATCGCAGTCCAAAGGCTACTGACTCTTCGTTTCACAGGAGTGCAAGGCGTTCCCGCGACGAGTCTCCCAAAGAGGCTTTGCACGACGAGGCTCGCATTTACGCGCATCATCATGCTCCTGAGTCTCGTCGCGATTCTTGGGAATATGATCGCAGCTCTAAGCGAGTGCGTAGGGAAGCCTCGCGGTCTCCTTCGGCGTACAGCCACCACTCGAGGGGGGAAGCGAGGCGAGCGGACCATCAATTCAAGCCGGAAAGGCATCGCACCGATCGCTGGACACCAGAGCGAGAACGCCATAGAAATCATCGTGATGAAAGAAGCTCCCACCGTCGGGCTGAAGAGAACGGCCGCTCGGATCATGACAGACGTCGAGATCGCTACGACGCAGGTTTTGGCAGAGATAGTCGCGTACAAGAACTAGAAGGAGAGTATGATCGTGAGAGGAGGCGACATGAAGACGACAGAGATGCGGATCGTGTCTTGGATCGCCACATTTCGAGGCGCAGTCGCGACGACCACGACCGAGAATGGCATCGCCGTGAGAGGGAGCGTGAAACAGAACGCGAGTACCCGGACCATCATCGAGAGCGCAGTGATCGACGCCGAGGCATCGTTCACCCAGAAGAGCATCGACTGTCACGAAACGAGAGGAGCTCGCATTTCGAGCGAAATACTCATGCGCGCAGGTCGAGGTCACCCCACTATCAAGACGAGGATCTCAGCGTACGCCGACATCGCGGACCGAGCTCTCCTTCCTATCGGGATGATGATGCCTACACTTCCAGACGTCAAGAGCAGAGACATAGCACTGCTCATCGCGTAGATCGCTCGAATCGAAATCACTACGAATATAGAGGCCAGGGAGAGGAGGTCGCGTGGGGAGTTCGCAGAGTGGATCGCGAGGTTGCAGAGAGCGATTCATCCAGGCAACGTGCTGAGCGGCGCCACGACTCACCAGAGAGAACTCTCTCTCGCAAAGCGTCCTCCATCTCTTTGAAAGCGAAAGCCAGCTTGCAAGAGTTCTCTGTCTCCACTGACAAGACGCACAACAAAGATCATCTCTCTAGGTCAGAGAATCCCGATCTGCAACACGAGCCGGAGGAACCCGCACCACCTGCAACGCCACCCCCGCCCTCCGAGCAGCCACCTCCGCCTGAGCTACTCCCCTCTCCACCGGCGCCTTCGGGGCTAGTCGATGAAGATGGCGACGTTAGGATGCGAGATGCGAGCGCTGCTCCTTCCACCTTGACGGGCGCTCGCAGTGTTGGTGCCCGGACAAGTGGATGGCGTACAGGTGCACACACGTCCAGAACCAACGCTAGCAGCATAGACTCTTTCAGCCCTGCTTTATTCAACGGAGACGCCCCCAACCGGCATGTGAAGGACGATAACGTCGATCTTGGGCCGCCTACAATTAGTGAGCGAGTCCGACGCCGCAACAGAGCTCAGCCGGTCCCTCTGGAGCACCGCACTTTCAAGGGCTGTAGCCCCGTCGACATGTACGATGTGGGTCAGAAACTTGGTCAAGGGACGTTTGGGTGAGTGACAGCATGGGATCACACACTCGAGCCACGTCCCATCTTCCTTGCTCACAATCGAATTCACTCGATGTAGAGTCGTCGAGCGCGCGAAGCATAAGGTCACAGGTAACGATGTTGCCATGAAGCGCGTGACCATACACGATGAGAAGGACGGCGTGAGTCGGAGCAGTGCTCGTCGTGCAATTGATAGACGCTCACTTGCTCCCTACGCCGCCTTTGCAGTTCCCTTTGACAGCTATACGCGAGATCAAATTGCTCAAACGCCTGTCTCATCCTGCCATTGTGCCAGTCATAGATATGGCATACAGACGCTTCTCTGACCGTCGGCCAAGGGAAATCTACATGATCGAACCCTACATGGACCATGACCTGAATGGTATGCTGGAGAACCCTTCCATCAGCTTCACGCCAAGTCAGATGAAGTTGTACATGAAGCAGCTTCTTGAAGGAACGCTGTACATGCATCAGGTAAGTACCCTCACATTTGCACAGTCTGGCAATGGATGGATGAGCTCACGTCGGACTTGTGTATCCCTCAGAATAAGATCTTGCACCGAGATATGAAGGCTGCAAATCTCCTGATAAACAACGAGGGCCAGCTGCAGATCGCAGACTTTGGGCTTGCCCGGCCTTTCAGAGATCCGGGACATGCTTGGAAGCGAGACGGGTGGAAGGGTGGTGATGCTGCTCAGGCGTACACGGAGATGGTGGTTACGCGGTGGTATCGGCCGCCGGAGCTGTTGGCTGGCGAGCGAAAGTATGGCCCTCCCATCGACATGTGGGGTCTGGGGTAAGTTGGAGAGAGGCGCAGCACGTTTCTTGCGCGCTTCTTCTGACCAAATTCCTGTTCGCCTTGCCAGATGTATACTTGCCGAAATGGTCATCAAGGGCCCGCTCTTCAAAGGCACTTCAGAGATCAATCAGCTCGAGCTCATATCACAGCTCTGTGGCTCGCCAAACGAGAAGAACTATCCCGGCTGGAACAGCCTGCCTGGTGTCAGGAATGCAAGAGCTGATGGGCGACCTTCGTCTGATGAGGAGCCAGGCCGCCATGACTTTGGGAATCACCCTCGCCGGGTGATCGAGCACTTCACGAAGGGACCGGTCAACGTGTGAGTTGAGGCCTCTCTCAGTTAGAGGTGGCAGGGGAAGGACTGACGTTGTGAAGTTGTTTTTCCTCAGACGACAAGAGCTAGCAGACCTTATCGACAAGCTCTTAGTGCTGGATCCGAGGAAGCGTATGACGGCAGAAGAAGCCCTGCAGCACGACTGGTTCTGGCAAACTCCTTACCCTGCGCTGCCGACTTCGTGAGTCTTCGCAAGCATCTCGACCCGCTTTGTCGAGCGGTGCTGACCCGGAACCGTGTCCATCGCTACCCCAGCCTGCCACGCTATGAGGCTTCCAAGGAGATAGACAGGCAGCAATTGCGTGAGGGTCGGAAGAGAACGCACGCTCCGCCTGCCCGTCCACCACAACCGCCGGTCGCCATGCTACCACCAATGCAGGCCGGCATGCCTCGGATGGCCAATGGCGCCCCCACAAGCATGGCCTTTGCAGATCATGGATCTATGCATACGCTCAACAATCTATCTCGAGCACAAGGCATCTCTCACGGCCAGGGAACGGGACCGGCAAACACCAGTCAATGGGGTCATCCAAATCACGTGCAGCAGCAGGCACCCCCGCCTCGAGCGGGAGCGGGAGCATTCATGGGTCTGGCGAATGGAGGCGGCCAAATGCATCACGCGGGCCCAAACGTGGGGCCGAGTCAAGCCGGCTACCCGCAGTCTCGTGGGCCTGGGCCTCAACCTGGACCGCACACCTTTGCACAATCTGGACTTCCGCCCCGCCCAGCTTTTGTCCCAGAGTCAATGCAGATGCATCAGCAGCACAGACCTGGTCCGCATCCTTCCCGTGGATATCCTCTTCCTAACTCGGGTCCTGGAAATGGTCAGCTCCCACCTTACCAGCCACCTCCACTCGGTCGCCAGCGTCCTCAGGCATACGACTACGACTACTGATCCTAGGTCTTGCGTAGTGGAGTGCCGAATTCGCGAGATCCTTCGATGCACAACCTAAAATGTGGACCCCAGACGATCCAAAGATCGTCGCTTGTATCATACTTTCCGCCGAATCGCACCTCGTGCCGATGTGCTGTCAAGTTATGTCATACTTATATTAGATGCAGTCGCGGATGGGTCGAGTGAAGGATGGACGGCGCGCGGTGGCGTTACATTCTTCGTGAGTAAATCTGCATGTCTTTGGGGACACAAAATCTGCCAACAACGAGCATGGCCTGTTGCTGAGCACCAGATAAGCGGCTCTTTTAGAGATGTCGGGTGTAGATAGGTTTGAGAAGAGAGCGAAGCAGGGAGAGCAGCATTGGGCAGCGTCGGAAATGGCGTAGAAGCTGGCACACCAATCGCGAAAGTGTATCAGGCGCCCTTTCCAAGGGTGGCCAGCACGTCATCGTTGAATCCGCCTTGAGCCTGTGTAGGGTTTAGCAAGATATCGTTAGGTCCTTTGCCATTGCCGTTGACGCCATTAGGGGCCAGGGGCAACAGTCCGTGCTGTGGGGCTTTCTGCCGGCGGGTCTGAACACCCTTCCTCAATCTGTTCAGAGCATCTACAGTGGTGTCCCAATTGATGCATGCGTCCGTCACACTCTGCCCGTACTTCAGCGTGGCGGGCCCAGTAGCTGGGATTGATTGCTTGCCTGGGCGCACGAAGAGATGGGACCGGTCTTAGCAAGGCCAGTGCGAGTCAGGATGACGCACTGTCATCGTCCACCTACTCACCCTCCACGTGGTTGCTCTCGAGCATCGTACCAACGATGGCCCAGCTCTTTTCCGTTCCGTCCGACAGCTGCTGCACAAGGCTGTCAACCACCTTGATCTGGTTCTCGTGCTTCTTCTCGCTGTTGCCATGAGAACAGTCGATCATGATTCTATCGGGCAGCTTGGCATCCTTCAGCTTCTGGGTTGTAGTGGCGACGTGCTCGGGCGAGTAGTTCGGACCGCTGTTGGCTCCTCGAAGAATGACGTGGCATGAGTCGTTTCCTTCCGTTTCCACAATGGCGGACAGACCTTGCTTGGTCACCGACAGGAAGCAATGCGGAGACGAGCTGCTCTTGATAGCATCTACCGCTACTGACAATGAGCCGTCAGTGCCGTTCTTGAAGCCGATGGGCATCGACAGACCCGATGCGAGTTCTCTATGTACCTGGGACTCGGTCGCTATGGAACGACGACGCGGACGTCAGCGGCACAGCTCACATCACACGCCGCCCAAGGAACACTCACTTCGCGCACTGCCAAAATTCAGGGCATAAACAGGTGGGGCAGGGTCAGCAATGCCTGATGGCGTTTGCTTGTCTGTGCGGTTCTCACACCACCTCGTCCCGCCGATGAGAAGTCACCTTCATCATCGCCTTTCAAGCGCCAGTCCCCCCCTCCCCCCCTTTCGCCCCGCACTCACCCGATCGCTCCCCAAGAAACCAAGTCTGCTGTGTATTGAGGGCTAATGGTGTCCAAGAACTCGGTTCCTGCCGGCAAGCCCATGTTGGCAACCTCAAGCAGCAATCCACGGGCCAGTCTCAGTCCCTTATTGATTTGGTAGCTTCCATCCAGGTTGGGATCGTTGATTAAACCCTTCCATCCCACAGTAGTGCGTGGCTTTTCAAAGTAGACCCTGGAAGCGGATGCACAAGTCACATGCGTTAGATGAGGGGAAGTACACGTGTTGGGATGCGTGTATGCGACATGCTGGACACTCACCGCATCACAATGTGAAGGTCCTCCCTGGCTTCGTCCGCGTAGGCCTTCAGCTTCTTGGCTTTAGGGTGAATGCGGGTGGATGTGCGCCTCAGCAATTGCGCAAGTCGTTCCTCCATCGCTGTGACATTAGCTGGCGAGCCTTTCCCTTGCATCTCCTCTTCCCTGCACGCGCGACTCACCATACTCGATACCGGCCCTAACGTCGTGCAAAGAGCAAGGGCCGACGATGACGAGCAGCCTATCATCTTCTCCCTTGACGATAGCGTCTGCGTGCTTGCGTCCCAGGATGACAGTCTGAGCACCAGTGATGGAGAGCGGGTACTCTTCCACAAGAATCTGAGGAGGGAGCACTTCAAGGAGAGAGAGAGGGACAAGGTGTGTGAACCGCGAGTCTGTCGATGATGGCAGCCATCTTTAACAAGTACACGGACCCCATCAGCCCACCAATACCCGCGCATCGTTGTGACTCACAAGGCTTGATGCGCTTGATGCGCCTGTCGTCGAGCTCGTTCAGAGCATCCTTGATGGCTACGTGAGCCTGAGGTGTGTTGGCCATGCTGAAATCTCTGTCGCGCGGAGAGAGCGAGCGAGGGGATGGGGGTTGCAGTAACGCGCTTGAAGAATTGGTGCGGTAGTCTCAACAGAGACGGATGTGTCCTGAATGGAGCTCTTCGGAATGTGCAAGTGCTATGGATACCGGTGGTTGAAGAAGGCGAAGCTTCTCACGATTCACGGCTCGTGTTGGAGCACCCCATCGCGCGCGCATGCAGCATGCGCGGCAGCACCCGAAGGTAAAGCGCAGGGCACGCTTCGGTCAAAAGTTCTTCTTGCAGCCTGCTGTGCGCGCGCGTGCGCCCGCATCATCTGCGTGGAGGGCCCGTCAAAGAATTCATGCACGACGGCCGACGCAAACGCTGAGATCGCACGTGACTAAGATCAGCTATAGCTCGCATTCTTGATTCTTGATTCCTGATTTCCAAGCTCGATCCTCACGACTCAAAATATCGACGTATCGACCAGATAACATCGCATGCTTGCGTTCGTCCATCTGATGGATGCTTTGCCTCAACGAGACTATCAGCACAAGTCATGAGTGACTCGACGGTGTGCCTGCCGCCCCCAACTCGTTCAAATTCGAAGGGGGCAAGTGTGCACAGCAGCGGACATCCTACCGAGCTGACGGCTTCTACGTACCACATACCTGTTTGTACGTCCGCACAAGTCTCTGTTTGTCTACCAACTAAAAGAGTGACGCAGTCTTTGAAAGACACGAGCTATGCCTTGCGAAGCATTGCAGAGTATCCACGTTTACAAATGCGCCAACACAAAACCTCAGCAATGCCGCAAAACACCTGGGAGTTTCAGATTGCGTGCCTCTCAGTGTGGATCCGTGCTTCTGTGCGCCATCATCGTTTCCGTGCATGTCTGGTCGTATAGACCCGTGGCGTGGTGGGGCAGTAAGGATGGATCAGGCCTGCCTGCTGGTGTTCTGGCCGACGCGTTCCGGTCTGCATTCGGCTTTGGTGGCGGTGCCTTTCAGCGCAGCAGCTTGTCCAAATCACTTGGGGACCGCATACTGTTGTGTCCACCTCCTACTTTCCTCGATCGCCCTGTCGAAGGATCAAGAAGTGTGTCGCATGAGACGTGTCAGAACGCATTCACGCGTTGGCTTGCATGGAACGGCACTCACGCTTTCTCGTCAGTCTTGTAGTGCTCGGCAACATCGTTGGCGAGAGGATCATCGGGATTGGGAGCAGACAAGAGGGCTTGGATGGATAGCAGAACGGTTCGGATCTGCAGAGCTGGCGACCATTTATCTGATGTGAAGGAAAGTCGTCAAAGATACCAGTGCGGTCGAGTCAGTCATCTTGCTCAGAGACCTCCGCTACAATTCGCTGTGCGAGTCTGGGAGACGCAACGGAGGACGCGCGCATGCTCACCCTTGAGAATGTCCAGACAGATTCGTCCCAATCGATCTATTGAAGGCCAGTCGCAGGAATTGAAAGACAGGCAAGCGTATCAGCGGCCGCGAGCGCAATTGCGAATGAGGTGATCCCCGTGTGCTGCTGGGGAAATCGAAGTCACTGACCGATGTTGGGATGGTAGATTTTGGTCAAAAATCTGACTTTGGGTGGCGCCATGGGATACTCTTCTGGCAAAAAGAGCTCAAGCTTGAACTTGCCGCCTTTATTTCGCGCGAGAGGGAGACTAGAGTCAGCATAGGTCCAGTCAGATTGGCACAACGGAGGTGCGGTATCGTTTCGCTCGCGCTGGATGCACCGATCGGCGCTGGCGCATTGAAACGGTAGTGGTGCAACGGGCTTGGGGCTTGACATGCAGAGATGAGACAGCCCTGTCTGCGTCGCCGACGACTTTTCTGAGGTGCAAAAGATCGCTACGAGTGTATTCCGGCAAACTTGTTGGCACCTCGACACCCTGAGCAGCTTTGCATGCACTTCAACCGCGCCTAGCACACGTCCAGGATTGAGTGTACAAGGGCTTCGGGGTACACCCTAGCGCCTTGGCCCCCTGCGACATCACCTGCTTCCCGCTCTGTGTATATCATCAGGCTTTGAGGCGGCGAGTCAGCTCACCTTCAAAGGGGCTCTGTCCAGGTCCATCGACGATCACATCAAAGTACCTCAGGTTGTCTTCGTGCGGAGTAGCGCTGATGCCCGGTGCGGGATCAGAGATCAAGCGCTCCGTCTCCTGCGGTCAATGAATGCGGATGAGAGCAAAGAGAGCATGCACAGGCATCAGAACCCACCAAGCGCTCGAGCGGCGCGTAGGAGGGGAGGGAGCGAGAGGTGCCCGTCGCACTCACCTTGATGATTCGCTTGGGCAGCGACATTGTGACTAAGCTGTTGGATCGCTTTGCGCCGTTGCTTCCGCAGAGCAATGATGGTCTTCCAAATGCTTGACCAGGTTCGCTTTGATAGACTGCGGGCTGGGC